AGAGAGAGAGAGAGAGAGAGAGAGAGAGAGAGAGAGAGAGAGAGAGATCCCCCCCTCTTCCTCTGCCGCGGAGACTACGCGCAATGGCGAGGATTCGCTCGCTCGTTCGCCATATTCCGAGCCTTAACCCCTTCACGTATACCCCTCGAGACGGGGATCGGGGTGAGGGGGGAGGAGGGGGCGCAGAGTTATCGCGTTATCAAATCCGAATTGTCGAGGCCGGGCTATTGGAGCCGAGATAATTACTCCCCGTGTACCCTCGTCGGTGGGGAACGGTGCCATTTCGCGCGGTTTCCAGAATTCTTTGCACGTTGGGACACGCGCGCGAACGCACGAGAGAGAGAGAGATTCCGGGAACACCGCCCCGGGCGAAAACTGGCCCCGCCGACTACGCGAGGCGAACTCGAACGGCGCAACGAGAGCGCGGCGCGAGGGGGTTGTCGCAGCACATACACGTGCTCCGATTTTCTGGCTGGCACGCGTCCTTTTAAACGCACGTCACTTTACAATTTTAAGGGACCTCGGGTCAAGTCGCCGCCTACCTGAAGACTCTACCGTCGGTTTAAAATCCCCGTCCGAACCACCACCCGCACAATTCTAGGCGTCGGTTGTCTGGGGTTAACGATACATGCAATCGCCACAGGGGGAGGGGGGGGGGGGAAGGGAGGACTGCCGAGAACGCTGCTCTGTCTGGAGCGGGTGCTCGCTACACCGTAGCTGGATTCTGTGACCCGTCGTTACGTTGTCGTTGCGCAGGTGTAATACATGGTAAAAAAGGCTAGAAAAAAAAACAAGAGCTGCGCGATCTCCGACGAGTTACGGAATTCAGCTGCCGGCGTATGATTCCGGGGTAGACGCGACGACGAATCTCGACGACGGTCGCACGAGCGAGCGCCCACGGTAGGACAACACGACGGGTCTCCGCCTAACGGGAACGTCGCGCGACGAGGCGGCGGCGGCGGCGGCGGCGGCGACGGAGGAAGCGCGAGGGGAACCCGCACGTCCCCGAGGAGAAGCGTGGCGTACTAATTCCGGAATTCGTCCAAGCGAGAGGGCACGGGAAGGGCGGCGGAGAGGGCCCTCTTCTCGCGCTCACCGCCTCGCGGGGAGGAATCCATGCGTGCGACAAAGAGAAACGCCCCGGATCCTCCTCTCCTCCTCCACTTCCTCGCCTCCTCCTCGTGCGACGGAGAGACTCAGCTGCGAAAACCGCTCCGTACCCCTTTTTCCCCAACTTTTCACACGCGCGAGGACCCTTCGCGACAGCCGAGACCCCCCTCGCTCCGCGTTGGCGCGCGTTAGCCAAAGTGTCAAATGTGGGAGTTGCGTGGGCGACGGCAAGTCGCGAGACGCTTCGCGGCGAGGTCCTCTCTCTCTCTCTCTCTCTCACCTGCCCGTTTCACGGAGGAGAGGACCCTCGCGGAGACGAACGCGCGGCCGGAGAGCCAGGAGGAAAGGGCGAGAGCACCGTCGCGAACTGCTCTCTCCGGCGGGCCGACATGACGCGCCGACGTACGGCGGCCGCGCGAGGCCCTCGCGGCCCCCGTGACGAGACGGGACTCGGGCCGACTCGGCTCGGGGGCTCGAGAAGATTCCTCGCGGGGCCGCGGTAGCGCGAAACGTGGCCGAGCGACGGCCCACCGCACGGAATAACGCGGCCGCGTGGCCGCGCGATCGTCCCGCACGCGTTGGCGGCGTCCACGCCGCTCCGCGTCCGCAAATTCGCCGCGCAAAGGCAAGAGAGATCACAATAGCGTTTACTTACGGCCCGACCGTTGTTGTTTCTGAGGCTCCGCTTTCGCAATCTGTCGGTCGCGCTCGGCAACTTCCGTGAGACGCGTCTGGTCAAGCCAGCGTTCGGCGCGCGACTGCGCCCGGGCCGCGCGACGCTCGTCCGCCGCGCCGTGAGCTCCGGAAAATTCGCCGCGATATCGCCGCGTGCGGGTCGGACGCGTACGCGCGACGAGTCGGCAAATTCGGCTGGCCAAGGATCCGCCCTTGAGCCCGGCGGTGATGATACCATGGACGGTGCAGCAGACGCCGACTACGCGAGTCGCCGCCAGCGGTGCGCGAGCAGCCGCGAGTCGCCGTCCCCGAGCCGCACGAGGATCGCCCGGGGGGGCCGGCGCGCGTCCGCCGCGACGAATTAACCGAGCGATTCGCGACCGAGTCCGCGAGTTTCGTGACCCCGCGCGCCACCGGAAGTCGCCCGTCTCCACCTCGACTTGAGTCCGGCGGTGCGCCTAATTTCCACGGGCGGAAATCTAATCGAGCCGGATCTCTCGCGCCGAGATGCCCGACCGCGGGGAAGCGACGGCCGCGAGACGATTCGCGTCGCTCCTCTGCGCGCGAGTCGCGGATCCCCCGATCCCGGTCGCGCACGCCGACTGAAGCTGGGGAAGGGGGGCATGGGCGGAAGAGATCGGCTGACGCCGGGAGAGCAGGGACCCGCGGCTGCGCCCACGGACGGGAGTACAAAGGGTCTGTTGTCACACGGCCGGTGCTGCAGATCGTTTCGGACAAACTGTCAGTTTCTCGGGGGTCTCTCGGGCGCACGTAGGCACCTTCGTGCGCCTTTAAATGTGATTCTACGGGGGCGAGCTACGTTTATATATTTAAGGACACTTGTGATACGCGGATTCAGGTCAGTGGCGGCCGCGTCGCGGCGTGTCGTCGCGCGAGGGCCCCGACCTCGCGCGCGCCCGCCTTTGTTCCCCGCTCGCCAATTTAACCCCCTCGGACCGAGGTGTTTTTTTTTTTTTTCCCAGGAACACGCTCGCTCCGCACGACGCCGCGCGTGTCCGTGTGTCCCGGCCGATCCCCGACGTCGCGCGAGGCGCGTCCTCGCGGACGCCCAGCTCCGCGACACACGGATACTCGCCGGAGCGCTCGACCTCTCCCCCACTTCACTCTCGTCTTTCCACTTGTTCGAATTAATTGCCGCGTTAATCCTGCGCTGGCGAGGGTCCTTGGCAGACTCGCACGATGCTTACAATCTACAGACGAGAGCGGGGTTTTTATTTCACACTTCTCGTACGTGGTAGCCGCGAATGTCATTGGCGGAGTAATCCGTGTGCGGTTGCATCTCGCACTCGTGTGGCTCGTGTGTAATTTCGCGGATTAGATATTCATGCGGCAACGTGCGAAAAGCTGCGTGAAGCCCAATGTCCACGATGCTAGAACTTGGATCAAGTTCTAGCATCGTGGACATTGGCCTTTACGGAGGCATTGATGTACGATAACAAAATTGCCCCAGATAACTGTCGAACGATGTCGAATAATTATATCATTTCATGTAGTCGCACCTTATACTTTTCTGTTTATCTTAGATTTTGTTTCTTCCTTTTAATTTTGCAAAGGTATATCTTATTTTACTGTTTCTTATTACGGAAAGAACGCTTTTGCTCCCGTACGCTGATCTACCCTGGCGAGACGCCAGAGTTTGATAAATTTTCTGTAGATATATGTAAAAGTTTCTGCGCACGTTTGCGTAGCTGCCTAAGGCTGTGGGCAAAGGCTGAACGAAGGATTTGCGTTACAGAATGGCTCAGCGTCCTCAGAACTACGGGTCTACGGATCACCGGGTGGATGTACCTGAAATAGGATTTAGTCCTACCGAACTTTATAGTCTCTGTGAAAATATTACCACTAACATATATACGATTAACGCGAGTTGGAAGATTCTGGAAAGAGCTTACAAAAACATCGGAACCAGCAAGGATAATCAAGGTTTAAGAGACAAAGTGTGAGTGGCTGCCCGGAGTACGATAATTGTAACAATAGCACTTGGGAGATGCGTTCAGCTTGAATTTCACACTGGCCTGTTTGTATCTTTCAGACACGTGACGCAATCGAGTACCAACCAGGTGGTCACGCAGATAAGCAAGGACATAGCGAGACTGACGGTGTTGATGAGGCGTGGGGAGAAGCAGCAAAAGTTACAAATTGAAAAGCTCACAACGGACTTTAAAGATGCATTACAGAGATATTCCGATATGCAGAAGGTGCGCCAAGACGAGACGTGTATCTGAACATTTTCACTTTAAGACATCCGTTGCGTTTGACATTAATGACAATTCTTGTACGCCTTGCAGTCAATTGCTGAGAAGATGAAGAGACATATTTTAGCTATGACTAATATAGAAAATTCAATGGACGGGGAGGATGCTGAAGAGACACACCGCCTACTTCTAGCACAGGAGCAAGAGCACAAGTCTACGCAAAGGTTTGGAAATAACATCTCTTTACGCTTCACGCAAAGCAATGGAGTATTTGTGTGTTGATGAGTAACGCAGAAAATCTTACCTATTTGCTTAGTTGGCACAATAGCAATGGTTTTCGTTGGTTGCATTTCGGACAATGCTGTGAGCATCGAAGCTATCGTGATTGTAACGGCTAATGGAGATTGTAAGATTTTCTGGATGAAATAGCGATAGAACTCGTGGATTTTGTAGCATGCCTGTAACAAAAAAAAAGACTGAATGTAAAGTTTCAGTGAAAAGATTAATTAGTTACGCGACGTGTATTATTAATATAGAGAAATGTGTATGGTAAGTCAGTTTCAATGTGTCTTGTGAAAAGAGTAATGACAAAGCCAGAGGTATTAGAAACAATGTGTGATCAATGCATTATGGAATGCACAGGACACTCGAATTTCAACACGGGCTACTCCTAGAGAGAGAGGATAGGATAAAACGCATTGAGGGCGATGTTTTGGATGTGAATCAAATTATGCGCGAACTTGCAGCACTGGTGCATCAGCAAGGTGATACCATTGGTAAGCTCTACAACTAATAGTCCTGTAGGTAACGGCTGTAAATTTTTTTACAACGTAACATGAAAATGATGCAAGATGTTAAGAACGCAGCTTTCCAATCTGTTTGTATTTGCATCGCTGTAAGGTACATGTGCTCGATGAAACCTAATGATTCGTTTACAGATACAATTGACAACCATATAGAGAATATACACGGCAATGTCGAGCTCGGAGCGCAGGAACTGGAGAAGGGAAGTAATTACCAAAGTAAATTTCGCCGGAAAGTTTATATCTTGTTGTTACTTGCGATTATAGTTGCCATTGTAGTTACTGTTATTCTAGTCATTAGATTAAGTTAGCGACCGTAGCCTCTGCGCTGGTCTTATTGATGAACGAAAAGGGTTGTCTCAATCTGTTTCACATATGTTGTTCTGAAAGTAGTTTCTTCAAGGACCATCTCGTTTTGCCCATTTCTATGCATTGGAGACGTAACAAAGAGAGTATAGAGACTTATTTTATATCTGCTTACGAATGGAATTATCTCCTGTATTTTTGGAGAGGTTGGCCATTTGGGAATTTTATAAAACAGTATTTAATAATTTCACATGTAAACTATCGATTTTTTATAGGCTTTTTTAATTCTGTTTTTACACCCTAGTTGAATTATTACCAAATAAAATATTAGAGCATCGGTTTAAAAAGGCTAATAATGCCTTTATCATTTCTCACATGCCTATCTTGTACAATAATTACTTCAAATAATATTAATTCTTTTCTATATTATTTCAGTACGAAAAATTTGTATTCTAAAAATTAAAAACCCTATTCAATTGGTTAAAAGTATTACTTAATATTACACGTAAAATAGCAGAAATTTGTTAATCTGTTATAGAGAGTTTAAAAGCATGTATATTGAAAGTATATTAACTTGACTGATGCGTTTCCTTGGCAAAATCTGTAAACAGATTTATAAATACGTAAAAGACGTACACTTCGCGTGTCTTTTACTTGGAAGATGAACACAAAACTGCACAAGTAAAATGTTACCTATTTATTGTCGCTACATGAAGAAATGATATTAATAAGATAAATATACATATATATAATTATAATCAAACTAATGCAAAATTTTGCATGTATGTATTTTAATCACACCTGTATTCGATATTATTTTCATATATCATTCTAAATTATCGATCGGAATAAATCAATATTATTACAAATATGAGTACTAATTTTATTAGTTCGTAATTTATAAAATGCTATAACGCAAACAAAGCCAAATTAGGTAGACGAAAATTGTTAGTATTATTAGTACTCTATAATTGGCTTATATAATTAATTAGAAAATTACTCTTGTGGAAAATCTTGTAATATAATTGTATTAATTGACTTAGTTAATGGGTAAAGATTTAAATTATGCGTTTTCTAAACAGCGTCAAATTATTTGTATACTTTGTTATACATTCAAACTCATAGTTTTACCTTATCCAATAAATAATAATTCCAATTTCGTTGGAAATTTCCTGTAAAATGTAGTAAAGGTGCTAATGAACTTACAAATAATAATTTTGTATTATTTCATATATATACTGCATCTGTATGGAATAATAACAAAAATATATAATTAAAAAAGATTGAATTTTTCATGAAAAATAGAAAAACTGATTTTTAGAAAATATTGTAACATAACAAACATATACAAAGTATTAATATACGTATCTTAAATTCTTTTAAGATTTGGAATATTATTACACTATAGATTAGTTAATCAATGTTTTTTTTATAATTAATTATAAAAGAAATGTCGCCTATATTTTAAATTATACATTGTCAGACACAAAAAATTTGATTGAGACAACCATTTTCCTACGATTACTCGATTCTGATATGATTATTAGGCATTCCGGATCTAAAAAATCCAACGTATAATTATTAAGATTATAATCTGAATATTGTATATACAACTAATTATTAACATCATTTAAATAAATAGTGCTATGATATTGATATCGATACGAACGCTTAATATCAAGTATAATAGCTTTATTATCGTTGTTGATTTGTATGTGCTAAATTAATATTAGGCATTAAATTATGTTTTGTTCTTTGCAAATAAAGTTTTTTTTATACCCTGTATATGATACGATTATATAACATTGATTTGTATTAAGAAAAAATATATAAATACATTTAAAAACGCCTAATCTTCGGCATTATACCATGGCAAGACAAATGAAGCGTATAAGAAAATATATGTGCAAGTCCACTTTTATTTTCCAAATCTAATAGAAATATAATATCAAAAGTTTAAATATTTTATTATTCTTTATGTCCAATGACAGACTTTTTATTGCATATAACTTGTAGTATAAAAAGTTTATCTCTGTAATAAAATATATACTTACGAATGGTCTCAGAACCTCTGTCATTGAAAAATTCATATTTAATAATAGATAAAAATCGATTTCTACGACATATGTGGAAAATTAATATCTGTATAAAATTATCGTATATCAATACAATCTTATTTACAGGGGAATATTTTGCGGAAGGTGAGTCTCGTAAAAGAAAAATCTTCGTAACCTATAAATACAGCACATATGTGTTCTAATTTAATACACAATATACATATATAAATACGTTCTCCTAACAATTCAAAATTATGTTATTTGAAATTATTGCAATGCAAAAGGACTTATCGGCATGTCTTTTAAAATGTGATAATACTCACTTTTATATCAATAACAGTCTCAATATATAAGATTAAATCTCAGTATCTTCTAAAGTAGAATTCATATCAAGTTCTTATTACGTTTACGTAACTTTTATACAACTCCGTGTCTTGTAATGCAAGAGTCTGCGTATATTTACGCTTTTATTTTGTTTTGTTGTTGAGATCGCCTGGCTTTTATTCGTGATTGCAATGTAAGCAAGAGGCCTGCGAGAACGTCGTGATTCGGTAACTTTTTCGCAAACAGCAAACGCTTCACTGAATCATCATACGTCAGGAGAGCTACCATATTTTGTAATAAAAATCCTTGACAGTATTCTAAGAGCTGTGCCGCATTATATACCTGTAGATTGAAATACACGATGCAGTTTATTAAATGACAATCTAATGTATAATTAATACAAGAGTACATGTCGTTATCAAAATATACCTTTGCGTGAATATACATAGAAACAATATTATCAAGATCCACCATCGTGGAACACTGTGCTTCACAGTATCTGAGCAAACCATCGAGTTGAAAGAAATTGGCTGCTGCCATTAATTCCAGGACATCACTTTGATTAACTTCCAAGGTGGCGCAACCGCCGTGATACAGAAATTCCATGACCATCTGAAAATTATAAGATTTTCTAACAACTCTTTATCTTTAATAAATCTTACTTATTTTGAACGCACAGATTATGAAAATATTATTACTGAACAACTAGGGGAAATATCATGAAACACATGTACAAATTATAACAATTGCGTACCTGGAATATGTGATATCTTATGTCATTAATTTGCACAATAGGAGGATTGCCTTCACATAACTTGGAACTTAACATATTCCTAAATCTCGGAGAAGATGTAACCAGTACAATTTTGTGCCCATAGAAAACACGACCTTCAACTCTAAATTGGACATCGCTCAATTCTGGATTATTCACAAACTTGGGATCGATTCTTGATCCGCTCGAAAGCGTAGTGTCTCTAATTGGCTTGATCGGCTCCCATCCGAAACATGTGCAAAATATATCAGCGAGCAAGAGCGTCGTGCCTTCCTTCTATGGAAATGGAATACAAACAGCATAATTTTAGTAAGCCGCATTATTTTATTCACAACGGTTTATTTTATAAACAATCTTGAGACTAATTATATTTGTGAATTATGTAATTTACCTTGCTATATCTAAAAATATTGAATAAAAGTGGCAAACACTCCTGCACGAACTGCGTGGAATAATCGTCCGGGCAGACTTGGAGAAAGTCTTGAAGTAATTGATCTATTACCGAGTCCAATCGCATTTCGTGAGCTGTCGCGAGACTGTGCATCCAACAATGTAATGTCCAGCCCACTTTTAGCCCACGAAGTTCCATGGTAATATCTATTAATCGTAATAAATCGTGATTACATAATATAAAACAGAAATCTTATTATTTTGCCACACATAATTTATATGCTTATTAAGGATTATATTATTTCCTTTCTTACCTAAATGATTGCTTTCCGCGCTGTGATACATCGCTTCTTGTAGCGCCTTTGTTTGAATTTTATTAAACACTGGTTCCTTGCCTTCTCTGCGAGCGCCTCTTCCTTCAGCAGTTTGCTGTTGAGAATTATTGCCGGCATTACCTTCCGCTAATATCTCTTCCAAAGATAATATCTCCTTTTCTCCTCGCTTAGCCGAGAAGTTGAGTGGGTGCGATAACAATTGATGAAGACAGCTTCTCTGGCCGTGCGCCGTAGCCACCGAGATTGCGCTATTTAAATTTATGTAAAATTAAAATTTAATTTTTGTTAATCTGAATATATTGCGATCTGATGTCTATTTTGATATTTTAATATTGCAGAAGTCTATATAATTAATAATCATAATTAAGTGATAAAGTGTTAAGACTAAATTACCTGTAACAACCACGTTGCACGGAACCCGAGTACGAGAACGAGTCCTTGATCAGAGTGGACAGAAACGGCTGCGCCCCATGTGCCAGGAGCAGAGCTACCATCTCGTTGTTTCCCGACGCTGTGGCTGCTTGCAGAGGCGTGACCGTGCACTTATCCTCGCTGAGTTTCGCGCCGCCTTCCACCGCGGCACCTCTCTCCAACAATATTCTAGCGATATTGCAGTGACCCAGCAGAGCCGTGTAAGTCAAAGCGGTCCAATGTTGCGTTTCCGCATTGAAGGCGGTCTGCACGTAACACATGCCACTAGGAATAGCTCCGACAGGACCGTTGGGACTATTAGACGCTACGTTCGCATTCGGCATCGTTTTACTGGGCGTCACCATCGCCGACTGACTGATCGGGCTTCTAACGTTCGATATACCGGACGTTTGTGGGATCTTGGAAGGCGTGTTCGATGATGAGCTCGTCGTGGGTGGCGGGCTTTCGATGTTCAAGTCTGCCCCGGCATCCAATAAAGCCATCACAGCTGATTCATCACCGTTGATGCACGCCAACATCAGAGCCGTGAATCCGGCGTCATTCACCGTGTTGATTTTCGTTGAAGGCAGCAGCGGCATTGCCTGGGCTATGAGATCCGTCCGTCCGCTAGTCAACATCTTGAAGGCCATGTCCAGCGTCAGCAACCGAACATATTCGGCATCGTCGATGCGCTTTGAACACACCGAAATCTCCTCGGAGCTACGTATATAATATCGCAAACTTTAATCAGTCTTGTAGAGTATTATAAGTCGTAAAATGAAAATCTTAATATACAAGTCTTTGGAAATTATATGCCGAGACGACTGACCTAATTGGTCGAACGGGACAATCTACACCAGGCAGCAATAGTCGGGCAGCTTGATTAATGTCATCTTGATCTATAACCAAACCGTGTCTGTGTTCGGTATGCGCTGCAGCTACCCGTAGCCATTCAACTAACGGTGGTAGCACTACGTAAGCTCGTTCGTATGCTAATTCCTGTATTCCGGAACCACGTTCGCCGTGCTCCAACTTGAATATGTTGACCAAGTCAATGAGACAAAGTACGGTTGAAAATGTGTATTAATAAGCAATGCGTCTCGTAACACACAACTTAATAAAATAATTATTTGCCGAGAAATTAATACGTCACTTTTATTCACGTCTCAAGGTAAATGCCGTACCTGCGAGCATCTCATGTAATAAAATAGGGCATGTAACGCCCTCGTTGTCAGAGGCATGGGACAGCGTCCGACTTGCGCTACCTTGGAAATCAAATCTATCAGTTCCGACATCGATCCCACGCAAGTCGTAAGCAACGACGGTTCTAAAGCTGACTGAGCCACTTCCCGTCCGCTGCGTGACGACGACGACGAGTTCAAGGAACTTACACTTGCCCAACGTGGCATCGCAAGGGCACCTGAAATAGTAAAAGACATTTCGATTCGACGTATACGATTAGCATAAATTAACAAATATATTCGCGTATCACACTGTATAAACGGCATTCACATCTAAGCATCTCTAAACGCAAATATTTCTTAGTCGCCATACATTATTTTTCAATTTTTCAAATCATAATCATTCTATGATTTAAAAACAAGTAATAAAATTGAAGTCAAAATCCAAAAAGCTGATTGAAATAGAATATTTCTATCGTATAATTGAGTGTTAGTTGGCATCGAATGATTCTTTTTTTTCTTTTAATAAAAAATAAGATCACGGACCCGATGCCGTTCGACCGGCATTGAGATGCGCGTACGGCTGTAGCAGGCCCCATAAGTCGCCGCTGTTGGCTATAGCGTGTTCCAGCATCGTCGCCGTGAGGGTCGTATGCGGTTCGGTCGGCACGCACTGTAGCAGTATCTCCTCCAGAAGATTTTCGATCCCGGCCGTCAGATATATCGCGGCATACTCGTGAATCATCCGCCCGAGTCTCACGTCGGACATCCAACGCAAGAAACGTCCGACTGGCAATTGTAGCCCCGAACGGGATGCCTTCGATTGTTTCAGCTGATCGCCAGATACAGCGAACATCGCGGCAGCTCGAAGGCAAGCCTTTAAACAAGGCGGACACCAAATTACTATGTTTAGTGTTAAGTGTGCCCATCGCTTTGGATTATCATCAGCTGTTATTAGAATATATCGCTCCAGTTATCAGGATATTAACAACAGGATATTATTATTTGATATGTAACTGTAGATGTAATCTTACGCTCACCTTGGTGCAAGAATCCGCCAGAGCTGGACAGAGTACGATCTTGAAGGCGCTGTACACCTCGTGCTTACTGCAGAGACCTATGGGCTTTGCTAATCTCTGAGTCTCGCGGCCAATTCTAACAAGCGCGCGTTGCAGGAGATAGGAAAGCCGCGGAATCGTCTCCATCGAGACTTGGTCCATGTGCTCTCTCGTGCGACCGTTCTGAAGTACGCGTAACACGTCGTGGTGAGTCCACGGTAGCTGCTGCAGTTCCACCAGACGATTGTGAGAATCTACCCAGACGAACTCATCGGCGCTGGTCACATTGGTGTTAATCGTCTCCAGGCTGGAGTGTCGCATCAGCCTCCTTACTGCGGGTTCCGAACTCTCTGAGCCGCTCAACGAGGAGTACGTGGACGAGGACTTGTGCGAGCGCATCGTCAGCTGCTGGATCGCCAGCTTTATATCCTCCAAACCAGAACCCGACCATGGTACCTGTAGCTAGAAGCGAAATAGAACGCTGGAAATCGGTTTGAGAAATGGAATAATACGAAATTTTACAAGCCGAAATTGGGCAATTTACATTAAATTCTATAAGAACAAAAATTGATACGTGCCCCAAAGTATTTATAACTTAATATTTAATTAGATTTTAATTAAGATCATGGGGACACTGTTCAACATAATTTTCTAAAAGCGTGACAGAGAAGGGACAGAACATCATTCGACAGTTAGCTTTAATTAAAATGGGGACGGTAAAATTTGGATCACGCGGAACCTTAGCGGGAGTTGCTCGGTGCCGATTGCGGCTCTGGCCGGATCGGCTCCTGCCATTCCTCTGGGTGACCGACGCCGAGAGTCGATCGTCCTCGGGCACGGCGTTCAATTGCTGAGGGCTGTGAGCTCTGTGATGACGATGCGGTGGTGAACTACTGCTCGTGTGGCCGCCAGTATCCGACATGCTCGCGTGTCCGGACGAGCGATTCTCATCGGAGGAGCTGTTGCCGGTGCATTCCGGCCGCCTCTGCAAAAATCGACCATTTTACGACGGCCGTCGCGGAAATTTACGACTCCAACTCTTCGCGATTTGCAACGTTTAATGTATTTAAGATATTAATAAGACATTCGAAGAAACGTTAGAAATTAAATACACCCGTGGAACCTCGCCGCGGATAAGCTGACATATTTCTGTATACCTGAAGCGCACGGAGTTCGTGTAAACTGAGATGATGATGCTGGGAGTGACGTGGGTGCTGCGGGGTCGGTGTCGGTGCCACGCTATCCGTGTCCCTTTCTGGTATCATATGGACCATGTCGTGGACCCCGGTTTTAGGGGAATTCTCGGTGAAATCCTTAGAGTAAGAAGGGCAATATATCTCACGGTTATTACCACCGCCCGGTCTGCAAAAGAATTTTTATCTTGATTCAGGGAATAATTTACTACCCCTTATTATCCGCTCCACCCGGTGTCATTTATTCTCGTTACACCTTGAAAGTAGAAATAAATGACACGGGCTATCTTTTCGCTCGACCGCGGCTCGAAAGAGGAATACTTAAAAATTTCGCCCGGTAGACGAGTCTCTCTACTCGAATGACCGCGAAACGACACCCGATATGCCGTGGCGTAGGTCGGCGCCTCAATTATCGCAGGAATAATTCTAGCGGCTCGTTTGCGAGCGTTCGCGCAGGACCTCCCCTCTTCCCCCTTTCCCCCCTGCCCGCGTCAAGAAGCAAACGCATAATACGGAATCTGGACAGGTGCATTCCGCGGAGGCACTCGTCTCGTGGAAGTTACGCTCTCGAAAAGCCGTAATCTACGCAGCTAACTGCCACGTGCGATTTCTAGGCTCTCGAGACGCACTCGGGAGATAAGAGTCACGTAACATCCATAGAGAAATGGATAAACGGAACTGCATTCGCGTTGTCCTAATGAGTCTCGCGTCACTTGCACACCGTTGTAATGACCGTAAGGCTCTTTAGGCACGGAAAGGTTTCTCCACCCTGGAATGCCAGGCACGGAGCTGCTGATATATACGGCACCCTCGCGGAAAAAAATTCACGTAGCTTGCGGCGGCCGCGGGACTCGCCCGCGAAGGCGATAAAACGCGTTAGAAGTTCAAAGCGCCACGCGGGACCACTTTGAATCGCTCGCATTTCGTCGGGTATTTTTCAGACATCTCCTAACGCGTAATTAATTTTCAGAACAGGTGCGTAGCGAGACGTCCGAAGTTCAGTCGATCTTCAGCTTTTCCACGATACAAGTGTATAATATGTTCCATGCGCCCCGAGAGAAAGTGCAGTGGAAAGAATCGAGACAGAACGCGCGCGAGCGTTATGTTGAAAACGGAACGGACCGTCGGCGTCGTGATCCTAAAATTATTTCGACTAATAACGCGTCCGCTCAATTAAGGTTCCGCTGAAAATAAGCGGCCATATAATGCGCCGTTTTCGCAATCCCTGCGAGCGCCATTATATTCAATTGCGCGACCATTGTTGGCCGATATCGAGGATTTAGCTTCGACAACTTTCAAATCCGACATTAGAGGTTGCGCAAATCCCTGCGCTCGGTATCGCGGGACAGAAAACGCAGCAATGCAGGTAGCGTATCGGGCTGAATCGATTCCCGGTTATGGTATACACGTGTTACGCGAAAAGTGCGCAATATGCGCACACCGGGGGGGGGGGGGGCACTTAACTCGCTCCTCTCATTTCACTTTTTAACCGTGACTCTTGCGAAACGCGCTAACATCGCGTATTATCCAAACGACGTGTTATCACATAGAACGATTGGGCTCAGTTCGGCAATAAGGAAGTTACCTTAAAAATATTCTTATCCACGTACAACAATTAACAATTGTATTTGAGGGGATCCTAAAGCCGCTGGCGAACTCGATTAGTGTCGATAAGATAGGAGACGGAATTAAAAACGTCAATTATCGACACTTTTAATTTCAAGTTCTACTCGGCCCGAGAAATTTATAGCCAATCAATTTGCAACTTTTACGAAAAAGCAGCACTTTTATTAGCTACACATTGCTCAGACCGAGATTTTGGATCGAATTCTGGCAACGTCAAAACCACGGCTTTACCACAGACTTCTATATATTATACTAGACCGCTAATTAAGGCATTAGAAGCGAAGCCGCGTCGCCATCTTTAATGTGGGCAAAAGTTCGTATGCAAGGGGTCACAGTTCGAAGAGGAGAAATTTTAACCCTGCAGTGAGAGACCCATTGTGTTGAATGAAACAAAATTTAGTTGACTCAACTGAATTTCTTGTCTGGATATGAGCAAACAAATCTTTCAGTTAATACAACAAAAAAATTTACTTGGAAAATTTTGATATATTTTATAATATTCAACTAAACGATTCAGTCAATGATTCAATCAAATTGTTTCGTTTCATTCAACAAAATGAATAATGAAAATACTGCCAGTCCGACTAGAGTGCAATTTCACTTTTTGAAAGAGTGCCGTTGTTCGCTCTTTACTTGGATCGATTCTTCAACTCCGAAAAGAGTGCAGTTACGTTTTACCTCAATCAATTATTGTTAGCAGTGTAAAATTCATGGACAAGAGCGTCGCTATTGTTCGAGTGGAAATTTCACTCGAAAAATTTGAGAGAGGCCGCTTATCAAAAATAGAAAGACAAATCGTAATCTCACTCCAACGCACGTTAATCCGATCGTAGTCGGTAAAACGTACTTTACGGCTGTATCTCGAAGATTTCGAGGTAGATATGACGTGTGTAACGTGATACGTAAAATAGATTTTGCACGCATCTCTCTTCTTGCATTGTTACACATCTCGGGCACATCAGTCGCTTGTCCGATTTACAAAGAGAGCTGGCTCGATATCGAAAATAAAAAGATGCCTATTTTAAGAAGGAGGAGAATTCGAAGGAGGCGAGGTACGAAAAAAAAGCGCCCGCGCGGGCCCGCAGGCATTCAACTCGAATGCACTTATTATGCACTTTGAGAGGCATCACTGTTGGAATCCGAGCATTAGCGGCGCATCATCTGGATTTCCTCGGAGAGCGCGAAGAACGGATCGTTTGTACGTCGGGGAATAAATCAGCGTGCGCGGCTAGGAGTCTTAAAACAACTCGTAATCGCGATACGTAATGCCGATTCGAGGCGGCTCAACACGACGATTTACACGCACGTCCCATTACACGATATCGATTCGATACAGCGCGATGAACGTTTTATTCGAGCGCGCGCATCCGTCAGTCACGCGGAGGGAAATTAAATGAACGCGGAGAGATAAGATATTCAAACGCGGGCCCCGCGACCGCGGTGCTGTCCCGGGGTCGCTAGTGAATCATGAATTACAGAGTGGCGAACGCGCCTCGTGAGTGCGCAAAATCGGTGACATGTTTAGATACGCGCGTTCGAACCGTCTCGCGAGATAAATGTACAAACGCATGATTCCATTACCTTATCTCACGCGAGTGTAGCCAGGAATCGGTCGCTAAAACTTGGCTTTACCTTAAAATGCAAATCGACTTTTTACCGCCTCGATACGTCCGTCTTGTTTTATCGAGAAATCGCGAAACGACTCGACAACAATTTCATTAATTGTTCTTACTATATTCTGCATAGAGGTAAATATATTCTGCCGAATCGAGATCGTAAAACTTATTACAACTAACAAGTCGCGATTATTTTCTACAGTCAGATTCCCACTGGCATCAAACAATTAATAATTTAGAAAGTGCATGTCCAAAATCATGATAACTCATTCGTTATTAAACTTATTTCACTTCTAATGGAATGTTTGTCTCTCGGAAACGAGAGACGTGGCCAACGAGTTAATCAATCTTCCTCATTAGCGCGCGTGATCTCGAACGGCAAACGTGGCCCGCGGAAACGGCATGAGGTAAATCGCGTTTAATACGACAGAGAGAGAAAGAGAGAGAGAGGGAGAAAGAGAGAGCGCACGACGACGGGGAGGAATCCCGATTCGCCCAAGGGCAGCATCCAATTTTTTCTTCCTTCGCCAACGACAAGCGTGCCATGCGTGCGTGCGTGAATTTACCCCCTCAGTCGCCACTGCTGCACGAAACTCCAATCCGCCTTGAACCCGCTCGTGTCCCCCGGCAAGGACCAATAGTCCTCCAGCTGGCTCTCGTCCTCCTCTATCCTCAGCACGTCCTCCCTGCTGGGACTGACGTTCACCACGATCTCGTGCGCGGCCTTGGGATCGCCGTTCTCCATCGCGGGATCTCGGCGTCGCCCGGCGTCCTCTTCCCGCTCGTTGTCCCGCTCTGATGCGTCCCGTGGACGAACCTCCACCCCGTCGTCGTCCCGCGGCCGCAACGACGTCTCGGAATCCTCGTCGCATCTTGACGTCACCTGCACGCACGCTTCCGGTAGCGGCGGCAGCGACGGAGGCGAAGGCGGCAGCGGCGGTGGCGGCTGCTGCTGCTGCTGCCTCGCTTTGTCCTCTTTCTGCCTCGGGTTCGAGTCGCCGAAGTAGATGACCGTCTTGTGACTCGTGTCCTTCCCCGTTTTCGCGGCGTCGCTGCTCGGCGTCCGCGGTTTCGGTTCGCGACTGTCGGTTACGCCGCGGCGGCTTCGGTCCTCCAAGGTCGAGCTTCTCTCGTAATCGTCGCGCCTGGCGACCTCTCGCCAATCCTCTCGCGCCGGGGGCTTCGGCAGGAAGGACACGGCCCGGCGCAGGATGAAATTGGCGCCTTCGTGGCCGATCTGCTGCTGAACGTTGGCGCTCATCTTGCAGCCCTTCAGCTCGCGGCACAGCACGCACCTGCAGTCCTCGGTGCACTGGGCTCGTCTCGCGGACGGCATGTCATTCACGGCGGGGTCATTCTAGGACGTGCGCGGTTTCGCCGCTTATCTGCAGCGCGAGCGCGAAAAATGTGAAAGCGTGACCGAAAGATCCGGTCGATAGTATCCGGAATTAATTCCCCCGATTGAACTGTACACGTTTCACTGCTGCACGCCTCGCTCGCACCGCTGTTCGAAACGGTGCAAGCTTCGCATTAATTCGTAGCGTTTACAAACGCGACGAGGTTTCTAAATCAGCACGTTCGATGGCAGAACACATCTCACGGATCCATTGTACATTTCGCTGGGGTACCAAGAATTTTCGCCTACTCACGACTACCTCGCTCAGCTGACTCTCACGAGCAAATCGTTAGAATTCACCGCAACTTTTCCTCACGGGATTCGTAGGGCGTCGGCGTTGCGCGCGGTTTTCTGCCACGACGATAACGATTCATCGCTCCAGTTTCACGCGGGGATTCACACCGCGAAATTTCCTCGCTGATTCACCGGGGACGATGTCCTCTTGACGCACAGCCGTAGAGAGAGAGAGAGAGAGATGTCTCGTCGACCGGGCGAGTCATCGGATCCTAATTACATTTATCGAGGATCAATTACTCCGCGGCCGACAGACCGGCAGCGCGCGAAAGCCTCGATCCTCTTTCAATTACTCGCGGCGGCACAAAAAAGACGCGAGAATTGTCGCGGATTAACACGAGCGGCAGCGAAAGAACACCGTACCGGCGAACGAACCGTGTAATTACGGCGCTACTCTTTTCCGCTGCATTAGTGCGGCAGTCATCGTGCCGCAGTCAATGTAAACACGCGACTGAGACGACGACGACGAAGTGTCTACGGGCTTCCTGTGCATCGGCACAGGTGAAACGTGCGCGCCTCCCTCGCGGCGCGCAGCACAGAGTCGGGGAAAAGAAGAGATATCCGTATCACTTTCCTACCTTCACCGGTGCGTGCGTGTATACGTGGCGCGTACGTGCGCGTCCCCCGCCCCCGCCGCTCTAGCTTTTGTTCCGTCGCGCGTAACTATGATATCACGGGGAAAAGAAGCCTCGCTGCGCCTGCAAAAATATCTATGCATATACGCACGTTCGCGCGCACACGCCGGCAAATGTGCGAATTACGCCCGCACTCGCCATTGTCCCCCGCGCACCAATTCTCGCGCGAGGCCGAGAGACTCACCGATTCTCCGGAGTCAGCCTCGTGCGATCGTAGAGTCGATCGATCGCGTCCCGAGACCGCGCGCGTCCACGCACCTAACGAGCCGATACGACCCGTACAACGACACGGAACCAATTGTGCAACAGCGTAACGGAATTACGTAATTATATAACGCCGCTAATTGTATAACTTGCCGGACTTGGCAAAACTGACCGTGCAACTCTCGCGAGCGCGAGTTGCACGGGCCTCCCCCGTGATCCGGCCGGAGGCTTTATCGCGATAGGAGCGGAGTAGCTTATCACGGGTGCGCGCGAGCTGGCAGGCCGCGATCGCGCGACGTGCATAAGTGCCGGCCGCCACTTGTAAACTGCTGCCATGCTCTTTTCGCTGGCGAGCCGCAGGAAACGGGAGAGCACAAACGAGTATGTGTCTTTACAGAGAGAGATAGGTAGATAGAGAGAAAGAGACAGAGCCCCACCATATGTTTCGGGGGAGGACTTCCGGCGACCATCCTACTTCCTACGGCCGCGTACTCGAATCACATCGCCCCAGTCCAGTGCCCGTGACGGGCCCTGACGTCGCTTCTGATACCATGCCATCGCTTTTTTTTTCAGCTTAGAATTAGACGCGAGGCGTCCAACCCGCTTGTGCAACTCGATCTTTAACGCGCACCGCGCACGAAGGTGCATTTTGGATTTTGATCCGTGGACTCTAGCACTGCACTCTCTAAAAGTCAATCGGTAGATTGTCATTGAAAACAGCGATACAAGTATACCGCTGCGATTTTCAGTGGTATACTCATAATTGTGAATCGGTTACTATTCACTGTTTTCCGTGATAATTCACTGATTCACTTTTAGAAAGACAATTCCCGTTTTTCTTTGTCGTTAAGTGGTACACGAAAAAAAATGATGTCGTATCAACAAGATCGGTGTAATTGAACTAAAATTGTTGAAACAACATCAGTATTAATAAATGAAAAACATGAGATTGTTCGTGACGTTAACGTTTAATTCAAGCAACTTCATTTTGCTTAATTCAACAGCATTTTTTTTCCGTGCACATACCAATCGCAACTCTGGAAAAATCGACTTCTTGAAATTCCTGTTTGTCGAAATTGCAACAGAGTTTAATACTACAAGTAGCTGTATCTCCTAGCAGCTCTTTTCGTTAGTCGTTCCCACTAATTAATTCTCTTCTTTGATAGCAGAAGCTTCTGTACCGCGAGGCATAATCTGCATCGCAAGATTAATACTTAATGCGGACAGGCAGATAGATAGAAGATATCGCGATAAATGCAATAGTCTGCCTTCTCCTAAGACAGCTCCGTCTCTCAGATAGCGTAATGACAGTATAAGGGGGTGTGCCGCGTTTTAATAACATCTCACGCCCGCGGTTCTGTACGGTACTGTAACCTTTTGTATCGCGCGAAATCTGTCCACACGATCGGCAGAGAAGGTCGACCGTGAGTACCCCCGCGCGCCGTTGTTGATTCCTTCCGGTACTGTTTTACCGCGGCGCGTATACACGAGGAAGATTCCCAGGAGGTGTTCCTAGTACAGCAATTAAACGCGTACGGTTGAGCACGGGGTGCCTCGACACTCGCTCGCGGAAAACAGGAAGCGAAGTGGGTCAGCGTTAAAATCGTCGCCATTACAATTACACGGCGACACCTCCTCGCCCTGAATGCGTGCGCTGCGGAATTATTTCCGCGTGGATTATTATTACACAGCGCGCGCGAGGCTCCTCCACCGGTGTTGATCACAGACTTCTGTTATACAGGGTGTCCCAGGAGGAAGGGTCAATATTCTGGGAGGTGATAGTATCGGGCATTTTAAGTAAAAATGTTCATACGAATATATGTCCCATTCCCCACTGTTTCCGAGATAGAGCTACTTGAGTGTCTCGCGTATTTACTTTTTTCTGTACACTTCACCCTTCGTCCAACCTCATGCTGTACAATTCTGTACGTGTGTTTATCTTAAAATCCTGAATAATAGTATGTGTTCAGAAAATTAAATATAGAAGAAAGTCCTCTCTAGTATGAGATAGGATTCTAATACGAGATAGCAGACTTTCAACGCCCAAATTCAACTATAACAAATCTTTCTTCGCAACGATTACACGATATAACAATGAATTTTCCACTAAACGGATTTCACTCCGAGGGCAATAAATTCATGATGGAACCAACAGACGATGCCTGTTAATTTAGCAGCCAAATAACAAGGTTAAGATAACGGCCAAATATTCGCATACGCATTTTCTATTTTCGATTTACTATCCGTTAACATAGATAGCATTTTAATAGGAACCAGCTACAGTGAAAACTACCGACCGCCTTCAATTCGCATTACCGTAAATTAACGCGAAAGCAGACACAGCTCTACAAGCCAGATAAACCGGTATTCCTTATCGCGCGTTGAAAATCTATCTATCTATCGAAGTCGACTTCACCGCGCGTAGGAATCATTAAAATGCAGACTATAAGAACGACGGTAATAACAGAGTTTCTAGAAAAAATGCAAGACGTAACTAAACGTCCGCTTAGAATTCGCGTGATTGCGAGAATGGATTTCATGGAAGCGCGAGCGAGAGTCCGAAGTGAGTCGCACAGTTTCAACGAGAAGGTACAATTTCTTACGAGGCGGGTCGAGAAGCGTCCAAGCTAGCCGCGATGTGAGAAAATTCTGAATGAATGCACTTTTAAGAATGGCCAAATCTGCAACGCGTGTCCCTGCCGGACGAGCCTGCGGGAGGAAGGGCTCGAGGCAGATATTGTCCGTGCTCACGGGGCGAAACTCCGGTGTCAAGGGCGGCGGCGGCGACGCTCCTACGAGGATATTAAATTATTTACCGAAGCGTGTCCGCGCCGAATATTCTCTCGAGGAGCGGTCCCTACGAGCGGTCGTTGATCGCCGTCGAATAACGCCGGCCGTTCCTCACGGGGCAAGAAGGACGGGAATTACGGGCCTCTCTAGACGGTGCGCGCCGCGTGTTCGCCTGCGCTGTAATTTTCCCGTAAACGTTTTTCCCCACGCGAAAGTGGCGCATACGTACGGACGGAGCACCAGGCGGAAGTTCTGCAACGCCGGCTCCGCGGCCGCTTCTACGCGTTTTCGATCCGCCTGCATATAAAAGTCGGGCGGAGCCGTTAATTTGTTTCTTGCACCCGTGAGAGAGAGAGAGAGAGAGAGAGAGACGGGGACCGCGACGAACGCCGCGCGCGAAAAGACGCGGAGAGACGTGAAAAGCGTAACGAATTAGGTTTTAAGCCGATCGCTCTCTAAAAGTCAATCAGTGCGTTATCACTAAAAACCGTTACAAGTATGGCACTGAATTATTTAGTGCTACACTTATAACAGTGAACATTCACTGTTTTCAGTGATAATCCACTGATTGACTTTTAGAGAGCGTGCGGCTAATCCCGGTTTCCACCAACGTCGTTTACCTTTGATCTTACAATTAGTTTAATTCGTCCTCTGTCTAAAGGGACAATTCGAAGGAGACAAAGAAAGAATTGAATTAAGATTAAAGTCAAACGACGTTGGTGAAACCGAGATAAAATCGAAATGTAATAACACGTCTCGGGAGAGGGAGGGAGAGGCGAGATTTTAATAATCGTCGGCTCTCGGATTCCTCACGTAGGGCGTAGCTAATAATAAGCTCATGTAGGAAGCCTACCGCGCTTAACGGCAACGGTTCTCGCGAACGCGCGAGAAATTCTTCAAAATCCCCTCCGCGCCATCGTACGCGCGTATAATTCGCGCTTTTCTCCACCGCAGCGTGATGCAAAAAAATTATATGTATAAAGCAGGACGATAATGTTAGCGCAGTATATAAATTTGCAGCATCCGTCCGTTATTAAATTTATTTCAGAAGAAATCGAGAACCGCGGCAAGTCACTCTCTCCAAAGTGAAGATCTTTTCGTCCCCACCTTCTAATCGCTGCCTCGATCGATAAAAGCAAAACTTTATCTATTTATTTAACGAAAGAAGAGTTCTTGTCACCAGTAATGACTAAAAATTGAGACGGGAAACTTATATAGTCAACCCAACCGGCTAGTTATTTTATTAGTTTATTACACGTGTAATAAACTAATAAAATAACTAGCCAGATGGGTATAAGTTTCCCGTCTCGCTATTTATTTAATTCTATTTCTACCTACTGCGGTAGCTTTACTTCCGGTCGTAATGATTAGCGCCGGCGGTAACTCGTGTGCAATCCTACGCGCGCGAAGATAACGAATGTGTCTCGTCCCTGACCTCTCCCTCTCCCGACGACGCTGCTAGTAAAAGCTCAGTCGAGCTCGGCGCTACGCGGCGGAAGAGAGAAGGAAGGCGAAGTAAGGCGGAAAGAGTCGTTAACCCAAATATCTGCCGCGGATTCACCTCGAATCGGCGTTTCCCCGCGCGCGCGTACGCGCATTCTTAATCGCGCGCGACAGAGCAACGAGCTCGTCGCGTTCCCAGATAACGCGGCTTTTCCCGCGGAGTTTCCGACTTTCGGATAACTAATTAAAAGCGAGCTCTCCCTTCGCACGATCGTGCGCGCGCGCCTATAATGGCAGGCTAATTTCTATTTCATCCTAATTCGCCGCCGACTCCGAGCCGAGAAACTGAATCGGACGATTGAATGTTGAACATAACGAGATGCGGGGCGAGAGTAAAAGTTTCTGCTAACGAGCGTTAGAGCATGGGATGAGCGGCGTACAATAGCGGTGCACAATAGCGGCGCACAATGAGGGTCACCAACACACGTCCCGGAGAATGCGCGAAATCCAGTGTACCGAAAAAAAAAACGCCGGATACTCGGACGCGTTGCAATTCGGTTGCGTCCTGTTATAATGCGACGTCTTTCGCGCGACGACCCTGCCGGAAATATTTCTACAAAATTCTACAAAAAAATTAAACATAACTGCCAGAATCTA